GGAACATCTGGAGCTACAAAGACAAACAAGCAAACTAAAATATTTTTAAAACTTAGATTAATATCATTCTGACCTTGTTGTAGGAAAGAATTTCTTTTGAAAAACACATAAAATGCCACCATTAAATAGAAGACTGGTAAACTTGACTACATTAACAACAGAGTGGTCCCATTCAGTGGGGAGACGCTTATCTGAGGCCCAAATACCGTGTCAATTATTGATCTGTAGCTTGGTTATATCAGGCCAAAATTAAATTTTTCTTTATGATTTTACAACTCTACTAGAAAAAATGTATTATTAGTCTAAAAACAGTTTACTTTATACAATTTTGTGTCATACTAAGACATTTGCTATTACTCTGTGTTTCTTGCAAAAAAACTCCAAACCACAAACAAAAATTCCACACATTTCATACTTTCATCATACGTGCCTTTATTATGAGAAAGTATAAAGCATAATATAAACTTGTAAAGTTAAAAACATGATACATGCAAATATAAAATGAGCAAATGTCAATGATTTCATTCAACTCATAAAAATGAAGAAACCAGTTAGATGTTAAGATTAGTTCACAGGAATAACGATGAATATAATCAGTCAAAAGAACTCTGAAATAAATTTGCAAATAGATCTAAACCTATCTAATATCCTAAAGGGCAAGAAACTGTAACATTTCCCACCAAACAGAAAATCAAGTGCATCCAGTTGCGTCAACTGCATCTTGTCCCTTTGATTGTTATGTATGGGAACGGTTCGCATGACTCTCAAAAAAACAATTTTTGCAATGACATCAGTTTTCTGTAAGTTAACCTCTACCGGTACAAAGTTTTAAAATAGCCTAGTCAATGGGAAGTTGTTCAAAAATACACACCCCTAATGGAATTATAATCCCAGGAGGATCTGTTAGGTTATTTCCAGCACTTTTTCACTTATTTCCAAATATTGAATAATTTTTCTTAACAATTTTTTGATAGAATATCTTCTGAACATAATTTTATTTCAAAAAACTTATAACACATGTGTAATGCTCCAAAATGCTTTTGTTTGGGGTGACGTTTCGTTTTGTCTTTGAACGAAATAAACCCTTTTCTCTATGAAATAGAGATTACTTTGGATGTTGACACGGAATTGCTCGTTACACGTATTTAGTACTAGCATCTATTCGATGCCTCCTTCTAGATTCAGTTTTGACGTTAATATATGATCAATTCCTTTCCTCCTTCACCCTTTATAATCCTAAACAAACTCTGAGCAGAGAGTTCTCTCTCTTGATCTATTATGTTTTGGACAGCAGGAGAGTTAATTTCCATAAACTACAGTAAACCTAGTGAAAGGTCTTTGGTGTATTTAATCTAAAGGAACAACATCTACTTACCATTATTTCTAGGGTATATTCCTTTAAAGAACTAAGAAGTTATAAGAATGCTTTGGGGGCTTAATCTTATATCGAGGCAATTTAATAGAGTTTCTGGAATCTTGTTGCAGAAAATCTGGAGCCACGTAGAAACTCTGGTAATAGGTTGGTTTTTAAGTCTGAAAACAAGTACAAATGTTTTGGGGACTTGGGTGGTTTTTTTTGTTGTTGTTGTTTGTGTGTATCTGAAAAGGCTATTAAGGGTCTTTTTTTTCCCGCTTTGAGGTTCATTAATGATGTTTTTCAACCTCTCATATACATATCTGTAAAGGAGAGGACTTAGAGTATTTTTCCCCGTGGGAAAAATTCACCCTGAGCTAACATCTGTTGCCAATCTTCCTCTTTTTATTTTTTCCTTCCCAAAGCCCCAGAGCATGGATGTATATTCTAGTTGTAAGTCCTTCTGTTTCTTCTCCAAGAGCTGCCATCACAGACGGCATGGCTACTGACAGATGAGTGGTGTGATTCTGAGACCCGGAACCGAACCCTGGCCACCGAAGTGACGAGAGCACCGAACTTTAACCTCTAGGTCATCAGGGCTGTCTCGAGAATTTAGAATTTTGATCTCTTTTAGTAAGCCTCTTTTTTCCACGAATATCATGACTACTTTCTGACCAAAATTGGAGATTTCCAAATCTCTCTCTTAGATATTTTGGAACATCCTGCACTCAGAATAAAGCAGAAAAAAACCCACTAGTTTGGAGGTAATCTCTGGTCACCAATTCCGATTATACTAAGTGATACTATTGTCATTTAAAATTAGCTAAACAAGACGGGAATTTCTCCTTGATCATTTGACTGAGGACCTCACAGAATGGAGTCTAAACAACAACAGACTTGATTTTTCTCAGGTATAGGCAGTGAGGGTTAACAGACTGGCAAAAACTACAGTCAAACACAGTTTATAGTCCCTACCTGAAAGACAAAGCATTTCTGAGCTCAAGGATGGAGTCGTGGACTCTCCAGGCCACAGAAGGGAATATGAAGGAGGATCTGAAAGTCAGGCCATGTGTGAATTGAGTCCACATCCTGTACGCCACCTCCACTCTTCTTAGGATCTTACACACTATGCCAAATTGTTGCACAAGCATGACCAGACTCAACTATTTAAAATAAGTGTATACCATTTATTAGAACTGTTTTTCAGGAAGGAAGGAAGAGAATGTCCATCAGCCAGGAACGGGGAATCGCTTCATCCTTGCTGCTTAACACATCAAAATTACAGGCTTTCTTTTATAACTTAATTTACCTAAAAATCCCTATAAGATTTGTGTTGATGAGCAGTGGAGAAAGTGAAACTCAAGAAGGAAAAATGAGAGAAACTGATGCTATGCTGTGGAGAATGAAGTGGGTCTAATAAAATAGCAAATTTTGATGACATTACTTGATGGGAGTACTATTAACAATCAAAATAAAGATAGACAAATGCACATTGGAAAAAAAAAAAAATCACATTAGTTGTTGAGAGGAGCAAAGGGGACTATGACATAGAAGGTCCCTCTAAAGGAGTCAAAATGTACATTCAAGCGAATAAAACATTAACGGTTTCTTAAGTAGTTAAGATTTTTCACTTTAAGAACAGTGAATCCTCTACTTTTGATTATGTAAAGGCTAATTTCATCATTAAATTGAGATCATTTTGAGAGTTGGATGTAAAACACATTTTATTGGTTTGGACGTGGTGACTCAAGATGAATTGGGGAGGTCAAGAATGACTCCCAAGTTTCTGAACTGGGCAACAGAACAAATTGTAGATGTCAGTGACTGAAAAGGGAAGACAAAGGAAAAGCCAGGCAAACAGATTTGGGATTCAGTTTAGGATATTTTGAGTCCTAGATGGCTGAGAAATCCAAGAAGACATAAATACGTAACTCAATATGTGAGTCTGGAACTGAGATGTTGTCTGGGTTGAATATATAAATACAGAACTTTCCCAAGATCACATAGCTTCTGAGCAGTAATGGGGAACAGAGAACAAATCCTCCTGACTCCATATTCATGTTTCCTTCTCTAAGACATGGAGAAACCAGAGAAATGGAAATCTGTGCTTTAAATCCAGAATTCTACAGCCATACAACCATTTTCCATCTACAAGTACTGCTGAAGTAAAAAGTCTAGAAATATTATATTCCAATTACAATGCTGAACCCAGGACCAACAATTTCTTTCAGATACTAAAATTTGTGTCTGACCATGCTACTTATGCCACAAAGTTTCTGCGCCCTTCCTTTAAACCTGGCTTCTTCCAAGCCCCTATCTATCCCCTGTCTGACAAACATATCTGAATGTCAGTGAGTCTCAAAGATACAAACATCGTTAAATTTTCCCGTCAGATTTCTGAGTCCCATAAAAATTAAAATCTAGCTGCATAAATTGGTCATTTAGTGCATGGCCTTTCATCCATTGGTTTGGGCTGGGATTTCATTTGTCTAATAACGAAAAATGCAGGTAATGTGTCTCTAGTGAAAAAGAGAGAAAGACAAAATAGGGAAGGTGACAAAGAAACACCTTGGGGCAGATGGCAGAAGAAGAAACACCCAAAATGACCAAGAAGATCCAGAGACCAGAAGCCAAGGCAAACAAGGGTTTCAAGGAAAGACTGAGAGCAGCGCAGTGAAATGGTAGCTAGAAGGAAAGTAAATGGTAAAACTCAAAGAATGCTCAAGTTTTTCAACAAGGAAGGCATTTGTGAGCAAATCCAGGACCATTTCACTGAAATGATAAGCACAAAAGCCATATTTCTCTTAGGTGAGATGAAATTAGGAATCTGGAACTTAGAGAACTTAGTTGGGAACACTAGTTCTAGAATTTGGGATCCAAAGAGGAGGAGCGATGAGACATTAGCCAAAGAAGAGGAGTATACGTAACACAACAAAAATTCCATTGTATGTCAAATATTAGTTGGAGCTAAGTTTGGAGTGAGAAAGCAATATTCCTCAATACTCAGGAAGGAAAGGATGTTAAAGGTTATCAAGTACAATGTCCAACTTCTGTTCCAAATCCCTCTCTAACACCATAACCACCATCACCTCTGTCCTGCATCCAGAAATGGTCCTCCAGCCTCAAAACTGGAAGAATGCCCAGGGACAAGCCCGTATATTCCACTTTCCAAAAGCTCTACTGCTTAGAAAATTTTGTCCTAATTTATCCAAAAATTCCTACACTCAATTCCATCCATCCATCTGTCTGGTTCTGGTTCTTTCTGAGGACACCACATCGTACAAACAGACCAGCATAGTTCTCTGGACATCAAAGGCAACCCTATTGTCTCTGTCCCGATCCTACAATGTTTTCTCGGAGGACTCAGTGATCTCCTCTACATGTTGCCTGGATCATCCAGACTCAATCCAGTTGTCACCTTCCCTCTGCGGCCTCCAGAATGTATCACAACCCTCTTTGTGGTACCAAAGCTGAGCAGAAATGTGATCTCCTCCCTTCCTTGGTACCCTCAACATCTACTGAGCTGCCCTTGCACCCTTATTTGCTTTTTTGGTGAGTGTCCTTTCCTATACTCTGTGGCTCCCCAGCTCCCAGCCTAACCTTCCCCTGTCCGGTGATGACTGGTCATAGATGAAAGACACACACATGAGAGGGAATGTATTTTTATGGAGAAGGTGTTCCAGAATGGGGAGGAATTACTCCAGGAGAGAGTAAGGTTGGTGATATTCAAGTTTCAGGGTAGCTTGAAGTGTTTGTAACTGACTAGTTGGAGGCAGAGTTGTAATCCTCCTTCGCGTGGTTAGAACTGGCTGTTTTTGCAGGAAATTTCAGGCAGCACTTTTGTTCATTTAGGCAGGTAAAGTATTGAATTTCCTGTTTTCTGCAGGTGTTTCTGCACATGCCTTGGTAAAGCTGGCATGGATTCCAAGGCTCTTGGCTCTTGCCATAGTTGGATTTGAACAGGCCACCTGGGAAAAACATAGCCATGTTTAGTTTCTATGCAGCAGTGATAATACAAGTGGGGTGGGGGGGGCATGATTTAAAGATAACAGGACCTAAGAATATTCAAAGCACGGGATCTGGAGTCAAAACCACTTCAGTTCAAATCTGGGCTCTGCCATTATAGCTCTTCATCCTTAAGCAAGTTACTTCAGTCCTCTAGCCTTCCACTGTGTTGTCGTCACAATGGGCATAACAATATAGCCAACTTCTTAGTGTTTTTGTGATGACTAAATTCACACATACAGAATGCTCAGAAAAGTATCTGCCACATACTAAGAAGTAATTAAAGATTAGGCAGTGTTGTTGCTACGAAAGTCTTTTCCTGAGGGTCCAGGACTTCAAGGGCGCCCCTGTGAGCATCTACTGGACATGTTCCCAAATGCCCACAGATGCCTGCTCCTCACACACGGCTCTCATTAGAGACAGCCAGGATCTCCTCTGAAGCAGGACACACGTATTTGCGGCCCTGTATGCCTACATATTTTGAAACATTTAAGCAAACATGTACCACATATGCCTCTCTCTGTACTTCGGCCCCACAGGAACAGATACTGTATACACATGGGCAGCACAAGTACATACATGGGCATACATGGGCATACGTGAGTATGTATGTACACACATGGGCAGCACACTGGCGCACACACAGAGGCCCACACGCACAAGGGATTTTATTCACAGGTCCACAGTCACACATAAATTGAGCGTATACACATGTGCTCACTGTACAAATCTGTACCACACCTTCCACATATGGCTAAATCCTATTTGTGAATATTGATAGCTATGTATCAGTCATCCAGATATGGGCATGTGTATACAGCCTTTTCAGCTGAAAATATCCCAGTGAAAAAGTTCCTGACACTTAGTCAGCATTCTATAAATATTAGTCATCAATAGTATTAGTTACGTATTGGAACTCTTAGAGACAAAGGAGCCATTAGAAAGAAAATAATACTAACAATCACTACCATATGTCCAGCGTCTATCATATACATAAAAGCCTGCTGTTATCTCCACTTTTTAGATGAAGACACTGAGGCTCAAAGAGAGACCTTGCTCTGTTCACATTCCATAGCTTGTCCTTGACCAAGGACAGGATTCAAGAATAGGATTCAATTTCTGATCTACATAATATTAAGTCCATGCTCTTTCCTCTCTGTGTCACACTGCCTCTCTATATGATAGGATTTCTAGGAGAGGCTGGCATCTTCCTGCATGATATCTGCAGGCATAGGGCCTTCTACATCTTTCAATAGATAGTCCAAAATTCATGGCTTAGCATTCAAGGACCTTTCCAACCATCCACCTATCCCCTCATTCTACATCCATTTAGGAGCACTCATTCTATGCCAGGCCATGTACTCAGTGCTAAGCATGCTGGGGTCTCTAATGCCCACTCACATTAATAAAAATTGGACAAAGCAAGCTTGATGTTATTTCCTGCATGGAAAAAAAGAACCTTTGCTAAATTTTTCACAAGAGAAAGCAAAATTTTCCAAGTTTAGGTGAAGTCAGAGAAGGTAACTGGAAAGAAAGGAGAAAAGAAAATGCCTCAGTGGCAGATATCCCATAGCTTTTCGGTGTCGGTGTACATACGAACTGCCCTGGAAATTGGCACTCCAGTACAGAGAAGGTAGTCAATTGCTGCCACATCAGCCAGACTGCTGATGAACCAGAGGAAGGAGGTTAAAAATGGCACCCTTTGTCCATGCTTCTCTATCATGATAATGTGTGTACTACATTAATCCTCATCCTCATCCTGAAACTTGTCTCTCTTTTGGCACCATCCTACTTATAAGAGGAGGAGTCCTGCAGAGGGGTTCCCCAGAGTGACACCCACATTCTTCTGGGTAACATCTGAGCTGGAGGGCTTTCCTTTTCTCCCAAACACACTGGATGGAAACTGGGGCACCCAAGGTCTCTTCTTTGTAGTCACCAGAGGGTGGATAAGAACATAGATACCAAGAATGAGGATCAGGCAAGCTGGTTTTTCCTTACTCTCTCTACATGGAAAGCAGGTCAAGAATCCTGAAGGATTCTGCTAACAGTGGTGAAATAAACAAACAAACAGAAGGCTTGTCAAAGACATTTGTAGAGTTTCTCAGTCCTGTTGCTGTTATAACGCTATGTTTCCCCCTGTCATGACAAACTGTGCCACCCACATTCAAGTTAACGTCACCTTTGATGATCCCTCCACCCTCAAATTGAAGTCAGAGGAGTCCAGCTTTTGAATCGCAGCGTAGCCTCTGACCCTCTGGACCTAGTCTCCCCATGTGAGAAATGGGAATGGAACAGTGCACCAGATCAGGAAATCTCAACTGTGTTTGTGAAGGAGCAGGTTAATATGGTGTGTCATAGTTTATAATGACCCAGGGAATTTTTAAGTATACTCACATCAAGTCTCTAGAGAGTCTGATCCCATAGGTCTTGGGAGAGGCTAGAGCAAGGGTGCTTTGCAAGAGTTTCCCAGAAAATACTGATGGGCTCCTGCTTGAAGTGAGAGCCACAACCCGGCCTGACCTTCTCACAATCACCCATAGACATTGCCCAGCTCATTTTCCCACACATGACTTGTTTTAAGAGTAAATTAAAATATCATAATTTAAAAAAACCATACTCTCTAGATTCTTTCTAACAGCTCCATCCAGAGCAAAAACCAGTGATACATGAGTTCTCTGCCACCTGTGCACCCCAAACATGATTCTTCCCCATCCAACTTCTAAGGTTGTCCCTATCTGTATATATTTACTAGGCATAAGTCATTTACATACTCATTCACTCAATAAATATTTACTAAAACCTACTCTGTGCAAAGCACTCAGCTCAAGACCAGGAATACATAGATTTAAAAAACAGTCTTGGCTTTCAAGCAGTTTCATTTCATATACATATATATATTTGGGGTGATAAAAGGAAAAAATGACTTTGTCCCAGAAAAGGTTGTCCAGAACAGTTCCTGCCCATAAATTTTGCCAGGTGAAAGTATTAAATGATTATGAAGGAAGGAACACCAGGTACAACTTTTGAAGCATAGAGTGCCGTCTTCCTTTTTTGTTGTTCTTTTTGCAAACCCACTTGTGGTTTTGACCACTACTCCAACGTGGCAACTGTGCTTTACTGTACATGAGAAAAGTGTCTCTCGAGTAAAGAGGATGGCAAAGGATGAGAAACAGGGGGTAAGAGAATGCGAAGTAGGAAGAAGCTGGGGAAGGGAAGGAGAAGGGGGAGGAGAAAAGGGAGAGGAGGAGAAAGGGGAGGAGGAGAAAACACTAGACACGGTGACTGAACTCAGTCCCACGAAAGGAGAAACAACCTTGGTTTTCTACAGATCTGAGTTGAAACTACTCCCATGTTTCTCCTGCCAAGGTTTGACAGGAAACACTTAAGGACATTCAAGCTTCCTGATTTCATTTATCCTCACTGCCTACAATTATGGTAATTGTTCTTCCGTGTCCCTGTAAATCACACTCAAGAAAGTTTTTTAAGAATTTGAAAACACTACTGGATATCTTTCATCCAGCATTCATTCTCCCCATTTCAACATCCACAGCTCTGCTCTGATGAATTTGACTGTCTTATCCAAGCTCAATCACCCCTAAACCCAGGCTAAGCCAACCCCTGCCCAGATAAACCGCACATATGCCCTGCTTGAATAAGACACTTAACCTAGCTTGAACCAAACACCTAACTCCATGTCCCAGCTCTATGCTTTCTGGTAACCACCTAAGGCTCAATTATAAAACTTAACACAAACTTAACACTAGCCAAGCCACCCAACCCCAATTCACATCAATCCAAAACAAAGCACAACTATTTCACTCTACTCTAACTCCCAGTTCTACCCAACTCCACCCCCAGCCCCACTCAACAAAGAATACCATTCCCTCTCCAGACTACACCAAAACAATAGTCCAACCTAAGTCTACAGATAGAATTGCTCAACCCCTCCTCATCCCAGCTCATTTTTCCAATATTACTCTGTCTCTAAGGTCATATATCATCCCCAACACAACTCGCTCTCCAAACTCCAAACTGCCCTTTATCCCTCCTAAAGGAGGACCCAATCTCTCACAGTTAACCCATAAATCGAGCTGCCATCCCAATGACAGCAGTATCTAAAACACTTCATGCTTCAACACTCCACTCCGCAGGGGCAACAACCTCTTAAATTTGTCTTGGCAGAGCAGAACCAAGGGAGATCTTGACATGAGATGGACCTTTGGAGTAACATTCACAACCTATCTGAGATGAGAAAAAGGGTTTAGGTAGTGCCTACTATATGTGAGTAGGAGTCATCTCAGAGATCACCAAGATACCAATACCACATGCAAGACCCCAGAACCTTTGAGAGAGGCCTGAATTACCTGGAGTCTTATGAACCAGCATCAGAAGGATGGAAATGGTCATTAAATAGGACTTCATGACTGACATTTCCCGAGAGAATGGAGGGTTGTGTTGCAGGGGACTGAACAAAGATCACTGAGGCAGAGCAGTGCCCTGCCTTTATTAGTTTTGGAAATGGGCCAGGGTTGTGTGCAGAGAACTAAAAGGGATGAGACATACCTGAGGTCAGCCAGGCAGAAGGCTAACATGTATCACGTATCTCAGTTGGGCACTCTGTGTAAGTGTCAGAGATTTGCCAACAGCACCCATGTCAAGGCAGGCCTTCCTTCCCAGTGAGAAGCAAAGGCAAATTAGAGCCAGTTGGCCTTTTTTGCAAGACAAATTTGAATGAATGAATGACTCAAGCAAGCAAGGAAGCAATGAGAAAACTAATACATAATTACAAGAAATAAAGAATACTTTTTTAAACATTTGTCTTTATCCTCCTGACAGTAGAATGTCCCCCTCTGTCAGTATTACTTACTGTATGTCCAATCCTGTACTAGGCATCATGGACTAAAAAAAAAGAAGATGATGACAACAAAAGAAAAGATGAGGAAGAAAAATGAAGGGAAAGTATAAACGGAGGAAGGGAGGAA